ACCCTCAGCAGCTCCAGAACCAACAGCCCCAGTGCCACCAGCACCAGGACCTCCAGCAGCTCCAGAACCTCCAGCGCCCGCACCCTCGGACTCCTCACACTCAGGCTCAGCACCTCCAGGCCCCACACCCTCAAGCTCCACACCCCCAGACTCAGCACCCCCAGGCTCAGCACCCCCAGGCTCCGCACCCCTAGGCTCAGCACCCCCAGAAGGAACACCCCGAGCAGGACCACCCTCAGCAGGACCTGAGTCACCAGTGACCTCAACCGGCGCAGTCAAGGGAGGAGGGTCTACCTGAGACACACCTGAAGGAGCAGGACCTGGCGCGGGGAGGGGGTCTACCTGGGGAGCACCTGGAGCGAGGAAGAGCGGCGGGGGGGGGAGAGGGGCAGTGCGGTAGGGGAAGAGACGGTAAAAGGGAACCGACTCGTCGAACGTGACGTCCTGAGACGCAAAGACACGGCGCGAGGTGGGGTGGTAAAACTGCCAACCAGGCGCGTCCGGGACAAAGCCAAGGAAGACACAGGGAACAGCGCGGGCGGAGAGCTTGTCCGCGGTAGTATCGCGGACAAAGGCACGGGCACCCCAAACTCGGAAACGCGATGCATCGCCAACCTCCCCCGTCCACAGCAGTGTGGGCGAGGTCTCTGGCAAGGAGACACGGGGCCAGAGGTTGAGCTGATGCGCGGCGTACCGGACCGCAAACGGCCACAGAAAATGGGGGGCAGCCGCATGGATCATGGAGGTACGAGCGACCTCCATGACTAAGCCAATGCGGCGCTTAGCAACCCCATTCTGCTGTGGAGAGGCCGGAAGCGTGAACGTCTGGCGGATGCCGTGCTCCGCACAGTAGGCTGCCAAGAGGTCGGAGGAGAACTCACCACCTCTGTCAGAGTGCAGACGCAGGACAGGAAAGTCCCGCTCGAACCGCTCGCGGAGTTGGAGACGAACAGCGCGGATCCAAGGGATCAAGACATCAGGGACCTCACCCTTGGTGCGCAAGGGGAAGACCGTGGTGTAACGCGTGTAGTCGTCGACGACCAGCAGGAAGTACCGCTCGTGGCCCTGTCCACGGACGCGGGCTGGGCCCCACACGTCCAGGTGGAGAGTCTGCAGGGGAGCCTCTGTGGGAGGGAACGAGGAGGAGTGAGGAGCGGCGCGCTGCCGCCCCTCGACGCAAGGAATGCAGGGCGGCGCAGGCGAGGGAGGGAGGGCAGGCAGAGACCTGGGAAGACCAGAGACCAGGGAGCGAGAGTGCATGCTACGAAGACGAGGCAGGGAGGGGTGACCAAGGCGATGGTGCCACAGGAGAGTGTCGTGCGACAAAGCGCGACACTCGCAGGGGGCCGCCAGCTGACCTGACGCAGACGCAGCCACCTGAGGGGACGCAGTGGTCAGTGTGTACAGACTCGAGCCAGGCGCACGGGTAAACGTGGCCAGGTGCCGGCCCGTCCGAGCACACGTACAGTGAGTCACTCGCTGACTCGCAGGAGTGAACTGGTGAACCCCCCTATCCTGGAGGTCAGCTCCACTCACCAAGTTCGTAGAGAACGAGGGGAGGTAAAGACCTGACAGCGAGCCAGACGGGGCAGCCGGACACGGCAGAACCGTGGAGTAGTGGGCAAGGACTGGACCCCCAGAGGGGTCCGCCAGGGAGACTGGAACTGGCCGACTAAGCGGTGTGAGTGTGGTGCAGTCGCGAAAGAAGGAGCGGGAAGCTCCTGAGTCAAGGGTGAAGGTGTGCAAGACCGCAGCAGGCGCAGTACCAGAGAGAGCAGACTCACCAGCACCTGGAGCAGCAGCCTCACCAGCACCTAGAGCAGGAGACACACTAGCACCTAGAGCAGCAGCCTCACCAGCACCGAGAGCAGCAGGCGCTATACCAGGGTCAGGCGGTACGCACAGGTAACAGGCACGGTCAACACTAGTAGGCAATGCATACATGGCAGTGAGAATAGCATCATAGTCAAGAGCAAAGATATCAACCCGCTGTCCAATTAGCTACACCCAGGTAGGGAGCTCAGCCTCGTCGCCAAACACGGTACGCCAGGCGTCGCTCAGACGGGCGAAGCAGCGGGACGGTGTGTGACCAAGCGTCCCGCAAGGCTGACCAGTCCTAACACCTGTGCGAATGACGTACGGGCAGCGAACGGTACGCGAAGACCTGCTACACTGAGCGTACCACTCCTGGAGCTGCCGGGGCATAAGTGTCTCGCGTGGACGCCCCTGCAGCTGCAGCTGGCCACTGCCAGACGCCCCCAACTGACCAGCTCCAGGGCGACTGCTACGACGGCTACCTCGACAGCCCCAACTAGTATACCACTCATCAAGCTGCTGGGGCGTGAGAGACTCGCGGGAACGACGCTGGAGCTGCATCTGGCCACCTGCTAATAGCAGGAGTAGCAGCAGCAGCTCGGGCAGCTCGGGCAGGCGCGGCAGGCAGACAGGCAGGCCGGCAGGCAGGCAGGCCGGCAGGCAGGCAGGCAGGCAGGCAGACAGGCAGGCAGGTAGGCCGGCAGGCAGGCAGGCAGGCAGACAGGCAGGCCGACAGGCAGGCCGGCAGGCAGACAGGCCGGCAGGCAGACAGGCAGGCCGGCAGACAGGCAGGCCAACAGGCAGGCAGGCAGACAGGCAGGCAGGTGCTCACCTAAGGCTGGAAAGGGCAGGCGCTCGGCGGCCGAGCAGGGCCGGCGCTCGGCAGGCGGCGGCCGGGTAGGCGTACGGCGGCGACGGCGGGGCCGCAACAGCGGCTGCAGAGTAGGGCCGCGTCAGCGGCAGTCGCAGGTTGGGGCCGCGTCAGCGGCAAGTCGGGGTCGCGGCAGCTGCAGGGCGGGGCCGCATCAGCGGCAGGTCGGGGCTGTGGCAGCGGCAGGTCGGGGCCGTGGCAGCTGCAGGGCGGGGCCGCATCAGCGGCAGGTCGGGGCCGAGGCAGAGGGCCGCGCGCGGGCCGCGCGAGGCAGTAGCGGGCCGCGCGCGGCCCGGCGCGGGCTGCGTGGGCTCGGCGCGGGCTGCGCGCGGCAGCAGCGGGCTGCGCGCGGCTCGGCGCGGGCTGCACGGGCTCGGCGCGGGCTGTGCGCGGCAGGAGCGAGCTGCGCGCGGCTCGGCGCGGGCTGCGCGGGCTCGGTGCGGGCAGCGCGCGGCAGCAGCGGGCTGCGCGCGGCTCGGCGCGGGCTGCGCGGGCTCGGTGCGGGCAGCGCGCGGCAGCAGCGGGCTGCGCGCGGCTCGGCGCGGGCTGCGCGGGCTCGGTGCGGGCAGCGCGCGGCAGCAAGGGGCCTGACGGGCCTGTAGGGGCGGTTCGTGGGCCTGAAAGGCCAGTAGGGGCGGCGCGCGAGCCTAGGGCAGCAGGAGGCAGCGCTAGGGCTGCTGGACGGCGCGCATAGTGCAGCACGTCACAAGGCAAGGCAAGGCAGGCAGGTACGTGGGGTAGCGCGGTAACCGCAGCGGTAGGTGGGCCCGAAAAAAAACAGTCCTACGGACCTTAGTGCTCTGAAACCATGTTAGAATCTAGCAGCAGGAATGAATGAACTAGCAGGATGATGGGTACAAGTAGGAAACCCTAATTTGGGTTGTACCCCATATGGGCTACCCCACTACAGCCTACACAATAAGCAGCATATATGTTTGACATATGCGGTTCCCAGCTTGACAGGTCGGACGGCATCGCGAGGTCAGTGTCTTCGTCGGCAGTGTCTTCTAAGTCGCAGTCTACCTCTCCGGCGTCGAAATAAGCAAGCGTGTCGTTGGTGGCGTTAAGTGGGGTGTTGTGCGAGGGCACTCGAGCAATTACTTGATCGAGATCTATCACGTCTAACCAGCGTGCGGTAGTATTATCTACCGTTGCACGACGACGGCGGGCAGGAGCGCTAGCAGCAAATGGAGCAGTAGTAGGTGCGGTGGTTCCATTGGCTTCATTATGTGACGCGGACATGGTGATCAAATTGTACGCTGAAGGCACAGCTTGAATGCGGGGTGTGGTTGCATTTAATCCCTGTGAGCTGCTTTTCGTAGGAGGGATTGGGGGTTGAGGAAGATGTCAAGATTGTTGGCGGGATTTCACAGCCCAATCCGATGCGCCGTGTGAGATGCGCACACGACACGCCATCGTGCCACGACGCATGCCACGTGGTGGGCCTAGCGCGATTGGCTATGGGCTGGGTCTTGAATGTGACTCCATTGGTGCACGAATGAATCGCGAGGTTCGCTGAAACCTCGTACGTGCCTGACACAACACAAGTTCGGTTCATGGTGGTTGACAAAGTTTGTGAAAATATTCGAATCTTGTTCACATTTGTAGGTTCGCACTTGGGAAAGTTAGTAATAGAGTCAACATTGGCGAAACTTGCTGCGAAAATTGGCGAAACGGGTTACCACATGAAGTTCGACCCTGATTATGAACTCCAAAAAAAATCACACACGCCCTTAGCGTTCCTGCCCAACCATGTGCAATGCTCAGATGTGCAACATACCGTACACTGTCTGAGAATGGGCCATACGGTGCAATGGAGGAAAATAGTCGAACATTACAGCGTTTCTGAGTGCTCTGGTGACTGTCGTAGATTTCTTTGATTACCAATTAATGGCTGTTGCCAAATGTCATCTCTACTCACACCACTCACACCACCCTCGCCACCATACATTTCCTCGTCTTGGAACACAACCAGTCTACCCGGCGCTCGTCTCAATGAAGGGGATCAGCTGCTGCTCACTATTCCGCTCGCACTCAATCGGCCAGACCCACCTCTCACACTCGCTTTGACTGCTGTGCCTTCACCCACACCTATCCCTCCTGCCTTCCCCCCCCCACCCCTTCACCCTCCTCTTTCATTTGCGGCACTTTCAGACACGGCTGCACCAGCGGCAGCTGCCTGGGCAGGGGTGATCCCGCGGGGGGAGGAGGGGGTCGGGCACGTAAGGCGGGGAGGGCGCGGTCGAGCAGGGCCATCATGGCGCGCATGTCGCTCTGCAAGTCTGCTATCATGCCCCTCAGCTCCTCCACTGTCTCATGGCCGCGCACCACCTCCTCCTGCTCGCACACACCCTCTCACAGGACATCGAAGAGAGGGGACACACGGGACAAGGATGGTCAGCCACTGCCTCATGGGAGAGAGGGGACACACGGGGCACGGGTCAAGCATGTTGCTCTGCATGTCTGCCATCACGCCCCTCAGCTCCTCCACTGCCAGCAGGCCGCGCACCACCTCCTCCTGCTCACCACATGCATGGCACTCGGGAGAGATGGGACGCATGGGACACAGGTGCTTTTGCGACTGCCTCGTAACGGCAGGGCAGCATGAGCAAGGCCTCTAGCTCTAGCTTCAACAGCCACCCTCCCTCCCTTGTACGATGCATCCACACACGCCATTCCTAATTGTCTCCACAAACACCCCTCCTCCCACACATGCGCACCTTGATGTGCGCCAGGCTGAGCTTCTGCATGGGCTTCTTGACGGGCAGGGCGGCCTGCTTCACCACCTCGCCGCACTGCAGCACCACCGCCTGCGACAGCTGCTCCAGCTGCTCCTCGTCCGCGGTCCAGGGGGCAGTCCCGCACATGGCGCCACTCTCACACGAGGACGGGGAGAAAAAAGTCGCCTTGGCCGACATGGCATCGGCTGATTGAAGAACCTTTTTTGTCTGGGGAGGAACGAGGGGAAGGGGAGGGGTGACGGGGGGAGAAGGTGGAGGGAGGGAATGGCGGGAGGAGTGGATGGAGGTTTAGAAGGCTGATTGTAATTGAGATAACGCTAAGAAGAGATGCAGAGTGATGCAGGGAGAAACATCAGTGAAACGTGGATGTTGACCAGAATAGCAAGAGTAAGCACTTGACAGGGCGCTACCCACATCAGTCGTCACAAGCATGACAGGAGGGCATTCACAACAAGCATGGAAAAGCATGGCAACGAGCATGGAACGGCATGGCAACGAGCATGGGAAGGAGCACGGCAGCAAGGACGCACCGCCTTGTCGTGGCGGCGCTGCAGGATCATGGCGAGCGAGATGGCGTCGATGCGCTTCTCCCTCACTGTCAGCACGTGCTGCCGCCGCACCCGAGAACTGACAGCCGACGGGAAGGCGGGTTGGTTCTCAGACCGGGCCAAGTGCACCGGCTTGTCGGCGCTGCCTCGCGTGCCGGAGAGCATGAAGCCTACCCGCCGTTGGATGGACTTAAAGCGGCGTATCCGATCCTGAAGCGAAAGGCCGTGCAGGGAATGGCGTGAGTGAGAGATGGCGGTTAGGGGTCGGTGGCAACGGTGGCCGTTGCAGCAGGACCAAGGCGTCTCAAGTACCAACCAAGCAATCAAAGACCTTCACACTTCACTTCACCCTGCACCAAAAATCTTACGACGCACGCACCTCTTTAATGCGGGTGTCCTTAACCCCCAGGTCCAGAAGGCGGTCGAGAATGACGCGGTATGGCAAGTACCGGCCGCACCAGCAGTTCCACTTGTACTTGATGATATGGGCGAGGTCAGTGGCTATGGAGGTGGCGACAACGTTGCTATCCTTCACGTCCATGAAGGCATCGACGATGATGGCGATGAGGAAGTTGAGGAGGATGAAGACCATGAAGACAATGAACATGAGAAAGAAGAGCATCGCCGATATGAGGTCCCACGACTCCAGGCGCTGCAAGAAGTAGGCCGACCCGTTGTCGTTGATGAGCAGCAGGAACAACGAGAACATGGACTCCAGGACCGAGGAGAACTGCACAGGGTGGGTTGGGGAGGAAGAGAATTGTTTTTGGGGCAATGGAGAAGACACACAAGGTAGGGAAACAGGAGGGGAGGCATTGTGGACGTAGGAAAAAAAAATGGTTAAAACAAAAATTGTAGTGTAGACTGCATAAGCACATGAACCATGTGGTATGTGCTTGCTTTTGTTCAGCTTTGTTCAGTTTTGTTTTCCGATTAGAAACAAATGTGGCTCTAATCCTCTCACTGTGCCTACTTGGGCCCTGTTCGGTAGGTGCCCCACTCACACTGCGGTTGATGGAGGGCAGGTTCCCCTGTACAATTTCAGAGATTGTTGAAGCCCAACAATTCGATATTGGAACACCGAGCCTGCCCAGTGCGAGTTGGCTACCGAACGCTAAAGAGCCAACTCTGACTGGGGACGCAGAAGCTGCACGGGAAATTTCTTTCAAAGGCAAACTAGACTCGCAGAAGAAGTGGCTTCCACTTTTGGGTTTCAGTTTCCCTCTGAGAGGGCCACTCTGAGTGGCACATTGGAGGGTTGACTTCAAATCCTAGTTGCAGAAGACGCGTCTAGCGTCTTAGACGCGTCCGTCTAGACGCGGTGTCTAAGACGCTAGATGAGTCAGATTAGACGCAGTATTAGACGAAAGCCCGGGCAGACCCAAAAAAAAGTTCAGGCAGCCTAAAAAAACTTCTGTGGGGCATGGGGAGGGAGGGGGACATGCACCTATGTCACAAATGGGTCAAATTTTCCTCGTACTAACTTTTTCCCCATACTTAGAGTTCACAACGATCTTCACATCTCATCATACATAATTCAATGTCGCGCGCGCGGATTTTTTTTTCAGGCTGCCCGAAAAAAAAAAATAACCCTAGCGTCTAGCGTCTAAATGTGCGTCTTGCGTCTAGACGCTGCGTCTAGACGCTAGACGCAAGACGCGTCTTCCGCAACTAAGCTTCAAATTAGAGCTCTATTGATCCAAAAATAGCTTGTGCACAGCATGTGACGTTATTTTTTTTCCTTTATGAATAGCAGGGCAGCCTTGCGACGTGCAAGTTCGTTTTTCTCTTGAGCCAGTCTGGTAAAGTACCAAAATCGTATGAAGAAAGTTACTCAATAATTTCAAGGAAACCATTTAACTCGAAATTTCGTTTCAGTGTGAGTGGACGCCCGAGGCTACGCAACATCTCGGATGCCTCCCCAGTCCGAGTGGGCCCAGTGCGACTGAGAGGCTACCGAACAGGGCCTTGGTGTTCACTTGGACATAATTTAGACTGCAAGGAAATGAGCCCCACACATACCAAAGCCGCGCACGTACCAGCTCCATTGCGCCTCCAAAGACGAGGTAGGCGTACATGCTGAAGCAGAAGAAGACCGTGAAGGAGAGTAGGAAGAAGTGCAGCAGCGAGGGCGTGGCGAGGCTGAGGGAGCGTGTGATGACTCCAAGGTAAGGCTGGAAGTCCATCACCTTGAGTAGGCGCATCATCATGAAGAAGACACTGGGGCGATTGGGAGGAGGGGAGGAGGGAGAAGCGAAGGATGTTGAATATAGGATGTCAGCAAACTGAACGAAACCTGTGTGACACGAATAGTCGAACCCCGGACCAGCCTGTGCTCAGGCTTCGGCCCAACCAGTTCAGGTTCGAAATTTTCTCAATCTGGGACGCCGTAGAGACAGTGAAAATGGCCCACTTATTGTTCTGAAAAGCAAGGCAGCGCACTCGAAAGCCTGATACGATGTCAGAATTCCAGCCATTAAACCACCAGGATAAAAGGGCTTGTTAAGTAGCGGGTCAGTGAGTCCATAATCCTACAGGCTAACGACCACGTAACCCTTCTCTAAGACCAATCGGGCATTCTCTTCTGACAATAACATCTGCCTCTCCTTGACTGCTGCATTATCTACGAGCACCTAGGTATCTCGTCATCAGTTCAAGCTCGTTTGACCCAAACCAAATGAGTTCGGTCTGACTATTGCATCGGTTCATGTCGGTTTGACCCGAGCTGGTTCGGATTCAAAATTTGTTTGTCAATGTTAATTGTACATTGTTTAAAGATGCAGTGGATGCCATGGCGGTGGAAGACGCTCACTTGATGCCCTGGAGGGCGAAGTAGACGGCGCGGAGGTTGATGATGTTGCGCAGATCAGCGAAGGCCTGAGTGGCCCTAATGAAGCCCGTGGGCGGGTTGGGCACGGCCCAATAGCGTGGCGTCTCGAGCAGCGAGTAGTAGATGTCGTACCGTGGCTGCATGTCAAATGCGCTCACGTACCGCCATAGAACCACCCTGCCCACACCGACACACACACGCACGCATGCGGAGGATAGTGAGAGAATGCGAGCACGTGGGGCGGATGGGTAGTGAAGACGGAGCAATAAGCGTTGTGCAAGATGAGACGATGAGCATCGGATGCAAGCACTGACGCAGCTTAGCTGGGTTCTTACCAGATAACAACCGCAGCCACTTGCAGCGAGAGAGAGAGCATGTCGACCCAGTTCCAAACGAGGCTGAAGTAGCTGAGTACAGAGCCATCCATGGCAGCGCGGTCGGCCATCTCCTGCAGCTCGCCACACACATTCCAGAGCAGCCCCACCAGGTACACCACCTCCAGCACCAGCCGTGCGATGTTGTCCGCCGATGCATCGTACATCGCCATGGCTGCTGGCTGCGACTTGAAGCTCACTGCCATGCTGCCGCCCACATCCAACGTGCACCTCACAGTTGTCAGCACAAACGTGAGCGTCTCGCCTGCCGGCAACCGGGGGGGCATCAAGGAGGCGAGTGAGGAGCGTGCATTAAGAAGCACGCCTTGAGAGGCATGCGGTGCGGTGTACACTGAACGTTGCAAGAAACGAATGGATGTGTTGAGTAGATGCATGTGCTTGAGGGTCGGTGTTACCGGCAGGTAGTTAAATACCGTTGAAGGTTATAAAGCTAACGTCAATGCTGCGCGTGCCGTTGTCAATGTAGCTGCCATCCACCAAGTATTGTAGACGCCTTGTGGCGGCCTCGTTATCGAGATTAATCCCAAACACCAAAGGGTATGTCGTGAGAGACTTCTGATGAAAAAAAAAAAGATGCAGGTGAACACTATTTTCGCCAAGAAATCATTGGCTTCATTGTCAGCACGCCACAACAGCAAGAAACAAGACAGAAAGACAGCGCGAGAGCAAGGCAGCACAGCAGAAAGACATGGAGGAGCACAAGGCACTAGGGCAGCAAGGCAGCAGGTCAGCACACGTAAGGGATGAGTCGTTTGCCATGCTTGCGACCTGGGCTGGGATAGGACCCACCTCGGCACTTCATCGCACCTCTCTGCACTGGCAGTGTCGGGCGGGCACTAGAACTAAACCTCGAGGGACTGACCATGGGGTAGATGAAGCCGTAGGGGAGGCCCTGAGGATTGAACTGCAGTTTAAAGCCGAAGGTGTCGTTGTCGAGCTGGCTCATGTTGGCGCTGGCAGCGCTGTCGTAGATGGCCGATGTGGGCAGGAAGTGCGGGTTCACTCCAAACGGCTCCCTGGTTGTGCCGTTGCTGCACCACCCCGCCAGGTGCAGCAGGCTGGGGAGAAGAGGGGCGGGAAGGGGGAGGTCAGGGAGGAGTAAGGGGGGTTGGAGGAGAGAAGAGTGGTGCAGCTGTGACCAAGGGAGGGAGTGAAGAGCGGTGCAGCTGTGACCAAGGGAGGGAGAGAAGAGCGGTGCAGCTGTGACCAAGGGAGGGAGAGAAGTACAGGCATTGAAAGAAGGGCAATCGGTGGTGATGTCACAGCGACAGGATCCGGCAATCGTGGTTAAACCCTCGCACGGCACAGTAGGCACGAGCAACAGTCAAAGCACGATGTCGCGGCTCGTTCGACCGCGGCTCGTCCGCCCCATCAAGCCGCGGCCCGGCGCATTGGCTCCTCGGCTCATGGAAGCTGGTCCAACGACTGGCACCTCGCTCGGCTCCCACCCTTGCTCATGCCTGCATGCCCCTTCACAAGTGGCACTCACCCTGGCCCACTGCACTGCTGTGTGCCCCACCGCTCCTGTTGCAGCATCATACCGATCAGCAGACTGGCAGGGAGAAGAAGGGAGAGGGGAGGGGGAGGAGGGGGATAAGGCAAAGGAGAGTGAGAAGCCGATTATGGTGGTTCACAGAACAAGGGGGTACTGTGTGGTGATTCACAGAACAAGGGGGTACTGTGTGGTGGTTCACAGAACAAGGGGGTACTGTGTGGTGGTTCACAGAACAAGGGGGTACTGTGTGGTGGTTCACAGAACACGGGGGTACTGTGTGGTGGTTCACAGATCAAGGGGGTACTGTGTGGTGGTTCACAGAACAAGGGGGTACTGTGTGGTGGTTCACAGAACAAGGGGGTACTGTGTGGTGGTTCACAGAACAAGGGGGTACTGTGTGGTGGTTCACAGAACAAGGGGGTACTGTGTGGTGGTTCACAGAACAAGGGGGTACTGTGTGGTGGTTCACAGAACAAGGGGGTACTGTGTGGTGGTTCACAGAACAAGGGGGTACTGTGTGGTGGTTCACATAACAAGGGGGTACTGTGTGGTGGTTCACAGAACAAGGGGGTACTGTGTGGTGGTTCACAGAACAAGGGGGTACTGTGTGGTGGTTCACAGAACACGGGGGTACTGTGTGGTGTAGCACGCCGCCCTTGCGGTTGCAATGCGAAGAGGAAAAGAGATGTACGCGAATGGGTATATGCTGTGGTGCTGCAAGGACGAGGTGAAAGCAGAACAAGGTAGCGAAAAGGCATGGCCATTCACAAGTGTGTCGCACAACAGGGCAGCCAGCAGGGCAGGCAGGGAGGCGGGGGGTGGCATACCGGTTGCGGCGAGACACGTAGCGTGTGGCAGCAAAGCCCCTCTCAGCCGCAAAGACATAGTTGCTCTCGGTGTAGTTGGGGCCGTAGCGCTGCAGTGAGAAGGGGAAGTTGAGATCGGTGCCCACCGCCGTGGATAGACAGCATGCTGGAGGAGAAGGAGGGGAGAGGGGGGGAACAGGGACAAGGAAGGGAAGGAAGATGAGGAAGAGAGAGAGCAGGGACGGCAGGGCAAGGAGTTCATCAAATGCAAGTGCACACCAGGAAGCACGTCAGTGTGACGTGGCGTGAGAATACGAGAGGAGAGAAGGATGGTGGAGCAACACAGGGGGCGAGAGGATCGAGTGGAGAGGGGAGCGGGATGACTGACAGCCGTCGTCGCGGCGGGTGTGGCCGGGGGGGCAGGGGCAGATGCCGGGGCCAAAGAGCGGGTCGACACACGCGCAGTCGCCGCCATCAAAGGCGCACACGGGCGTGTTGCATGCCGCATCGCACACCCCGTTCGCCAGCCGCCGCAGCCGACACCCCGGCGCACACTCGTAGGTTGCCGTGGTGTAGGTGGAACCAGCGGGGGATGCGTTGACAGCGGTGGTGTTGGTGGTGGTAGCATTAAAGACAGTGGAGGTGGTATTGACAAAACCTGGAACCGCTTGCATGCAAAAAGAAATCGGGGGGGAAGGATGGGAGACGTGGGAAGATGTGGAGAGGAGCGAGACGGGGAGAATAGAGGGAGGATAATAAACTGAGATGCAGCAGGTGGGAAGGGTGGAGAGAGAATGCACAGACGGTAAGTGGATGCAACTGAAAGGGAGAGCCTATGAGAGATGTGCACCGCCCATGCAGTCCTCACCAGCAGTAGCATCCACCCCAGTCCTCGCAGGCAGCACTGTGAGAATGCTGGTGGACATGGAGGTGGGGGAGGAGGCGGAGGAAGAGAGCGCGTCCCCTTGGGTGACTGGCAGAGTGCCGTCCTGGTAGTTGATGCTCATGGGCTGCGCAAACACCTTGCTGTAGGCGAAGCTGCCCGCACGCTCGTCCTCCATCCCTGGTGGGGGAGAGGTGGGAGGCGATTGAGAGGAGTGGAGAGAGGGAAAAGGGGATTGGAGGGGACAGTGGTGGGACGAGAGATGAAGATTGCTTGCATTTCGGTTTTCTCTTGGGTGAGTACTTGAAAGGCTTGCCTTGTGCTCACGAGTCTGGGTTCCAATTCATCATTATAACTCAATAAGCAGGCAAGCACAACACGGGGTCGTGGCTCACTCACCACAGCATCGCACTCACCACAGCATCGCACTCACCACAGCATCGCACTCACTCACTCATTTGAACACGGCAAACGCACTCACGTAGCACACACGGCACGGGGTCATCCGTCAGGTCCCCAGCGCCCACGTTCATGGGAGTGCATGCCATCTGTCGTGACACGGCCAGGCGGTTCCCCCCGAAGCCCACGAACAGCGGGTCGCCCGCCTCACCCAACCCCGCCACTGGTGGTCGCCGTTGTCGTGGTAGGGGCAGACGGGTGGTGGTGGTGGCGGTGGCGGCGGCGGCGGCGGCGGCGGCGGCGGCGGCGGCGGCGGCGGTGGTGGTGGTGGTGGTGGGGTGGCAGAGGGGGAGTCACAATGGTGGTGGGACATGAGGCAGAGCAGACCATGAATGGGAAGTGGTACCATGGGAAGTGGTGCCATGGGAAGTGGTACCATGGGAAGTGGTGCCATGGGAAGTGGTGCCATGGGAAGTGGTGCCATGGGAAGTGGTGCCATGGGAAGTGGTGCCATGGGAAGTGGTGCCATGGGAAGTGGTGCCATGGGAAGTGGTGCCATGGGAAGTGGTGCCATGGGAAGTGGTGCCATGGGAAGTGGTGCCATGGGAAGTGGTGCCATGGGAAGTGGTGCCATGGGAAGTGGTGCCATGGGAAGTGGTGCCATGGGAAGTGGTGCCATGGGAAGTGGTACCATGGGAAGTGGTACCATGGGGCACAGAGAGCTGTTACAACCCGACCTCTCTTTTCGTTTTCGTTTTCGTGGCAAAATCAGGGTAGTGGCAGGGTATATTTCCGCTACGCCTGACTTGGGCAGGGTAGCTTGAGACGTTACTCTGCTTCCAACTCTGATCTGACACTCATGGAGCGCACGCAAGCACAAGAGCATCTCTGACTGAGCACAGTAGAGCAAGCTCAGCTCGCCCTAGTGAGAGTTGTTGTGATTGTGACTGGCTCGCTCTACAGCTGTCTCTGGGGTCTTTGTACTTCAACAGTTTTTCGCAACTTAGATGGCGTTCTGCAAAACCGCCCAACAGAGACCATGTATCGCTCTACGGCTGTCTCTGCGAGTCTCTATACCCTGCAAAAGGTTGCCCTGGTTACAACTGCTCATCACAGACACTCCTTTCCTCTGCAAAGAAATATAGGCACGGATGGACAGAGGAGGCTGTGACGCAAATGAAGGCCACACAAAAAGGGCGTACCTTTGAGGGAGTGCGGGAGGTCGTCATCCCACACCCAGGTGACCTTGTCGCCCACATGGATGGTCGTGTGCGTCACGCCTACCCGCCACGGCAGCCATGCTCCGCCTGAAGGGAGAGAAAAGGGCGAGAAGCGCTGACATCGTCAATCACGACCTGCCTGGGCCGCCATACGAGAACAAAACACAACCCTTGGCCAATCACATTCGCATTCACATGCAGACGCAAACGTATGTGCATCCGCACCCACCACCACTACCGGGCGCCCATGAGCACCTTGCGAACAGCCGACAGCGTCCGATGTGACAATCGCATCGTCGAAGGCGTGCATGAGCGTGTTGAGGCGCGCCGCATCTGCATCCGCCATGGGCGTGACGGACCGCAGCGCCGCCACCATCATTTGCACGAAGCGCCGCATGTGCTGCGATGAGATTATGCGCCCGCCGCTCACATGCGTGCGCTGCAGGTAAGAATACATGTCTGCCGCTTTCACCACCTGCTGCCCTGTTTCATTTGTGAACTGGCACTCGTCCAGTGTTGTGGAGGGTCCCCCCAGCATGGTGCACAGGCACGCCACTATGCGCCAACTCACGCTGCCCGGCCCTCTCAGCGTGTGCTTGGTGGCTCCCGCCACTTGCATCGCCTCTGCCCCTGGAGCACGGCCGGCCAGGCATCTGTCCTTGGCCATGGTGAAGAGCGCACGCGACACCGCCACCTGCAGGGCTGTGAGTCGCTGGCGGTCCGTGGCGCCCAGGAGCGACCAGAGGGAGGGCTGCGTGGGGTCTGCTGCAGCTGCTGTTCGCACTGCTGCCATTGCTGCTGCTGCTGCTGGTGCAGCCGATGCCGGTGTTTGTGGTGGCAGGGCTGATACTGCTGCTCCTGGTGCGCCTTGCACTGCTGGTGTGGGCAGGGCTGCAGCAATAGCAGTGGAGGCAGCAGCAGACGGCGCGGCGAACGCAGGAGGGGCCGCATCGGGCAAGGCAGCGGAGGTCCAATAGCTGTAGCGCTGTGGTTGCAGGCGGCGGTGCTTTGCCTGGGCCTGAACAGTGGGTAATAAGTAGTGGGTTTGTGGGCAAGCAGAGAGAGCATGACAAGGCGACTTGCAAGTGCACACACGAAAAAAAGGGTGAAACAGTCACGTGAAGGGAACAAGAGGAGAAGCGGAGCAGGAAAGCCACAAGGGGCAGCAAGCAAAAGGGCGGGCAGCAAGTAACGGGCGGACAGCAAGTGATGGGGGTGGGAGCACCTTGCGGCGGGCAAGGCGAGCGATGTGTGCCGTGGAGTTGACTGCTGGATGGGAGGGGGGGAATGTGCAGTGAGAAAATTGGAGGGGGGGTGGTGTGCAGTGAGAGGGAATGGGAGGGGATGGTGTGCGGTGAGAGGATGGGAAGGGGTGATGTGAGGTAAGTGGGTGGTGACAGCTAATGACTGCATCGAATGTCCACATACTTAAGGCAACTTAAGACAGGATACAGGGAGGTAAACGATACCTGAAACGTTGCATGGGGTGTTGGAAAATATCGTTGCAATCTCAGGCTGCAGACAGTGGGGGGTGGGGGAGGGAGCGAGCAAGTGAGTGAGAGAGAATTGCGCTGCAAAGAGTAAAGCCGCTGGTTGCCTGAAGCCCGAGAGCAGAACGGTAGACGGCCTTGTACTCTCGGGCATTGTGTGGTAGACGGCCTTGTACTCTCGGGCATTGTGTGGTAGACGGCCTTGTACTCTCGGGCATTGTGTGGTAGACGGCCTTGTACTCTCGGGCATTGTGTGGTAGATGGCCTTGTACTCTCGGGCATTGTGTGGTAGACGGCCTTGTACTCTCGGGCATTGTGTGGTAGACGGCCTTGTACTCTCGGGCATTGTGTGGTAGACGGCCTTGTACTCTGGGGCATTGTGTGGTAGACGGCCTTGTACTCTCGGGCATTGTGTGGTAGACGGCCTTGTACTCTTGGGCATTGTGTGGTAGACGGCCTTGTACTCTCGGGCATTGTGTGGTAGACGGCCTTGTACTCTCGGGCATTGTGTGGTAGACGGCCTTGTACTCTCGGGCATTGTGTGGTAGACGGCCTTGTACTCTCGGGCATTGTGTGGTAGACGGCCTTGTACTCTCGGGCATTGTGTGGTAGATGGCCTTGTACTCTCGGGCATTGTGTGGTAGACGGCCTTGTACTCTCGGGCATTGTGTGGTAGACGGCCTTGTACTCTTGGGCATTGTGTGGTAGACGGCCTTGTACTCTCGGGCATTGTGTGGTAGACGGCCTTGTACTCTCGGGCATTGTGTGGTAGACGGCCTTGTACTCTCGGGCATTGTGTGGTAGACGGCCTTGTACTCTCGGGCATTGTGTGGTAGACGGCCTTGTACTCTTGGGCATTGTGTGGTAGACGGCCTTGTACTCTTGGGCATTGTGTGGTAGACGGCCTTGTACTCTTGGGCATTGTGTGGTAGACACTCGAGCAGGGGTGGCACATGATTTGAGTCAGAAGGAGGCCGCACCAGAGGGCTGCGCGACACCACGGCCGGCATACCATGGGGCGTTCAGAGTGGTACTGGAAAGCAAAGCATCCTAAGGGATTGATCAGCGCAGTATGGGGCAGAAAGGTTTGCTCTGTATCAAGTCACCGACCGCCCGCACCATAGGCAAAGGGGCGCACCATGGGGCAAAGGGGCGCACCATGGGGCAAAGGGGCGCACCATGGGGCAAAGGGGCGCACCATGGAGCAAAGGGGCGCACCATGGGGCAGGGAGAGTCGGCAAAGCTGGTGATGGAGACGGGTGAGACGATGCACATGCGCGCACAGTCCACAAACGCCCCTGCCACCTCCCTCTCCGTGAATGGCCGCCCACAGGTCGTTGGAAGGCAGGCCACCAGCCTTGCACACGTCTGCACACATAAACACACACTCCCCCCCCCCCCCCACACACACACAGAGGCACAAATGCACACATGAAAGCATGCACCACCTTGGCTCGGAATGACACAAGTAAAAGCTGAGTGTGTTCCACAGCCGTGGCAGTCACGAGGAGCAACGGCATACTCACATCACGACAGATGTCAGGTGGAGAACCAGCGGCTCCACCACTGGGCTGCACCTGATTGGCTGCATCCACGTCATCATCATGCGCGCAGTATCCCCACGTGGCAAGCTCAACGGTGGAGGCGGCGCCGACGATGGAGAAGCGTCGCGTGCCGGGAGGGGGCGCGTGCACGGTGCCGCGGATGCCCCCCGCGGGCGCGTTGAGCACCACCACCCAGTCGCCGTCCGGAATGTCCACCGCCACCGATGCCTCTGCCGTGCCGAGTGGGAATGGCTGGAATGACTCGTACCTGCTTGGCCCACAAGCAGGGTGGCGTGCGGTGCAGTGGGGTGGGATGGCATGGGGAGGGGAGGGAGGAGAGGCGATGGGATGGGATGGGATTGGATGGGATGGGATGGGATGGGATGGGATGGGATGGGATGGGATGGGATGCGATGGGATGTGATGGGATGGTGAGAGTACACAGGACAGGAGAGCAAGAAGAGCAGAGGCGGGGGGAAGGAGGGACGTGCAGGCAATGGCTGGCATGTGACGTGCGGGCAATGGCTGGCATGTGACGTGCAGGCAATGGCTGGCATTTGACGTGCAGGCAATGGCTGGCATGTCACGTGCAGGCAATGGCTGGCATGTGACGAGAGGGCGAGCATACCAGCAGAGGGAGACCGGGTTAACCATGCAGAGGTTCCAGGAAGTTTCGTCAGCAGCATGCTGTGTGTCAAGTTGAGAGGAGAATCTGACAACAATGGAGGTGAGGTTGGGGAACGTGCCGCAGTCCGCCTCACAGCCAAAGCGGCCAAACGCGGGGTACTGGAAGGGGCGCTCGCACGAGCCGTCGCCACACACGGGGTCTGTCCAGAGGCTCTGCAGGGGCGGTGGGGAGAAGGGAGGGGCAATGAAGAGAGGAGTGGAGTGGAGTGCACGGGCTGACGAGTGTGCGGCCTTTAATTCAGGCAGGAGAGAGCTGCGATGCTGCACTGCATGGGTGGACGGTGGGGGGGCTTTAGTGTGCGCGGGGCAACATGCATCAAGTGCACTAGGAGCGATAACACAGTGACCAAGGGGAGAGGGCGGGAGCGCACCTGCACGATGCTGGTGTTGAGCCAATTGTAGAAGTCATCTGGACCGTTGAAGGTGTTGGACGCGTCCTGACGCATGCCCTGCTCTCATGGTGGGCGGGGAGAGACACATGCAGGGCGGAGGGTGAGGAGAGGCGAATGAGCGAAGAGGCGGCAAGGGGTGCTAAGCAGCGGCACAGCGGAAGTGAAATGTATGCGCAGTAGGGGTGTGTGGGCACAGTGGAAGTGGGAATCGTTGAGGCTGGTAGAGTGCGGAGGGGGGAGAGAGCATGGATGCGAGGAGGAGGAGCCCTTGCACATGGTCCGAGTTTTGAGTGGACTCAAAACTCGAGAGGAGGAGCCCTTGCACATGGTCCAGGGGGCGAGAAGAAGCGGAGGGAAGCGGTGATCAGCATACGGGAGGGAAGGGCACGGAGGGAATTGAGGGGGGGAGCATACGGGGTTGAAGAGCACAGAGTGGTAAGGGGGGAGCATAGAATGAGTGTGTGCTAGAATGAATGTGCGCAGAGTCTATGCACTTTATAATGAATGCAGCGGGAGTGGCAAGCATACAGGCAGGAAGAGGACAGAGAGGAGAAGGAGAGTGTGGGGGAGTGTGGAGGGTGAGGGGAAGCTTATGGCGGGGAAGGGCACGGAGTGGAGTTAAGGAGGGAATACGAGGGGGAAGAGGAAGGGGAACAGGGAGGGGAGCATACGGGGGGGAAGAGCACGGCATGCGCGGCGGTGATCTCGTAGCTGCGGGAGGAGTCGGCCTGGAGGTAGAGGATGGTGATGAATAGCGCCATCAGCACCACGAACCCGCCCAGATCGCGGTAGTGCTGCACGCGCTGCTGCAGCGCCGCCACGCGCACGAACGCCTCTACCACGCGCGCAAGGGGGGAGGGGAAGGGGAGGGGGAAAGGTGGGATGGGGAAGGGGTCGTTGAGGTGTTGAGGCGGGTGAGAGCAGCGGGGGGAGCAGTGCGGATGGCGCGGAACGTCAGAGGCGGTATGTCGGAGAGAAACGCGAGGAAGAGGTATGGACGTGGGGCGTGTGTCGCGCCACAGCCCCCGCAGTGGAGCACCGCTCTGAACCTGGGCGCACCTTGCAGCACCTCTCTGTCCATCTCGTCCATCTCAGCTTCCTGCAGCACGTCGCTCGTCGACCGCGACAAGCTCGCCCCCCTCGTGAAGCCCTGCAACGAGCCCCCGCCCATGCTGCTCCGCGCCATCATCTCCCCCGTCGCATCCTCCGTCAAGCTTCGCTTCAGCGGACCCCCCGCCGCGGTCGCCTTTCCCTCTCCGCCTTCCTCGCCAACGGCGCTGCTCTCGTCGGCGCTCGTGTTGCTTGCGCGCCTGACACGCTGGCGGCAATGCCGCAGGAAGGCGCGCAGCCCCTTCTCGTCATCCGCCGCGCTCTCGTGACTGCTGTCGCTGCTGCTGTTGCCGCTGCTATCCCGCGCTCCCTCAGTCTTCGAACCCTGTTCGCCAGCTCTCCCTTTCTCCGCCAACCTCTCCGCTAAGCCCTCCTCGCAAATCCCCCCGTAAACCTCATCGCCGCCGTCACCTTGCCCTCCCTGGTCTTCGTTGACGGGAACGGACGGATTGGCCGACGAGCTTCTCGCGAGACGTGCCATGAGCTCCGGATTTTGCGGCGTGAATCTGCCGTACCTACCGAGGAAATCTAGGTTGAATTGGTTGCGGCTGCGAGACCCCGAAGCCTTGCGGCTTCGAAACGAGAAGGATGGGCGAGGGGAGTTGGGCGGAGCGGAAGGGAAAATGGTTAAGCAAGTCGGGAGTGTGCGTTGGGCAGAAAATACTAGCATTGAGAAGCCCGTTCGCAAGCAAGCACTAACGGTCACGTGCAAGAAAGCGCGGAACATCATGGTCGGCTCACCTGGGTGGATTGTCGGATTTGGAACGAACCCACATGCGGTAGTTGGCCGCCTCGTACGCCTCGAAGTTATCGTCCAGAAAACTCTTCGACCGCGGAAACAACACCTCGCCACCATCCACATCCTCCCCCTCCTTCCCCTCCGCCTGCTTCTTCGCGCGCAGTACTGCGGCCGCCTCCGCCATCCACGACTCTAGAGAGAAACGAGAAGCAGGACTGCTGGAAGTAGATCCTAATAACGAGCATGTATACGGAAAACGAAAGACGAGTGACGTACTTTCTTGCTAATGGTGCCCCTGTCTAGCGGTGGTGTATCTGGTCAAAGAAACAAAATGGCTTGGAGAATGTGTAGAAGCTTCTGCTGCACGCGTTCCCTGCTGCCTGGACGTGTGTTGTGTTGTGTAGTAGCTCCCCGTGCTGTGCTGCTGCTTTGCTTGCATTCAGGCAAGCGTGGAAGAGAGGAGTGGAAAGGACAAGGTGGTTGGAGGAGATGCTAAATGCCTTTCTTCGGTTGGATCCATCGTAAACTTCAAGGGTTAGGGCGTGTCTCACGAGTTCATTTTCGGTTCAAATTTGCGGTGGGAAAAGGTTTCGTACGTTCTAGAGCGGTTGTCTGCTTCACCGCTTTGAACCGTGACCCGCCAGTATGAACAGTGATTCGTGGGCTGAAACGAACTCGTGGGACACGCCCTTCCTCAGATGGTTTGATGGGATGCAATGCAATGCGAACCATCATTCGGTGGTGTCTGGAAACACGACAGACTCGATTACAACCGAACTGTGTACAGTACAGTACTGCACCCTGACCTCCACAGAAGTGTTCGTCTGCCAGTGTTGGAGCGTCTTGTACTGTACAGTACTGTCACGTCTGCTGGGTGGGGGTGGGGGGAGTTTTTGGGCTGGACGTACAATAGAGCACTCTGTCTTGTAAGGTATTCATCGTACAACCTTCATAAAACGAGGTACAGTACGTTAATGTACCCTCTGAGGCCACGGAGCGCGCTCCGTTGTTTGCTGCTGGAGTTTCAAGAGTCCCTTCAATATTTCGTCCTGTTTTGCTTCCTCGCTCCGAGACCTTGGATTGATAAGCAATCGAGTTTGCTCCACTCCACCCACAATCCCCAAACCATCTGTAGACATGCAATTCTAAACGCTAGTTCGAATCAAGTTTGTAAGGACATGGAGTGCGAGAGATCAGTATTAGTTCTTCACATAAAGCATTGGCGCTTCCGACCCACGCCGTGATCACAGGTCAATTATAGCATTTTCTGACTAAAGCCCTGATTTTTGTAGGATTTGGCGTATGGGTGCTAAAACTGAAGAAAAATATACCTGTCACATGCAGGTAGTTTTTATGTCCGTTGATTGTCCTTTCGGTCGTTCGAAAGAAACTGGTGAAATGAAACTTCATGTTGATCTAACATGCTGGTTTTGGCGCCTTCAATGGTGAACGTTCACTCGCCTGCCCTCACCACGGGCACCAATGCGACTCTGATGTACCCTACGTAAGGACGTGGACCCAATTGAGTTTGATCGCCTCTATCACAAGCGATCAACAATTTCTAGGAAGCCTGGAAGCCAAATTCAGGCAATCATGGGCAATCAGCTGATCGGGATCAACTGATCGCCCCAACTTGATCAGACCCAATTTTCACCCCCATCATAGCCGATTTTCCTCAACCTCGGGCGATCACTTGATTGCATGTGATCGGGGCCCACAACGATGCTTGCGAATAGATACACTATTTCACTTACAGGGAGACTAAGGACGCCAAAAAGTGCAAATATCGCACGATCGTCAGCATATATCGAGCCCCACAATAGAGTGCGCAGATCGATTGGCGAACCGTAGCGATCGCGACGTTGTAACGATCGCACCTGTGAGTTATTGTGGATTTTCACAACCGATATTACTGCCGTGTCTGCGACACGCGCCAAAAAATACATGCGCCGTCCAAACACCTACGACACTCGCACCCACAGGGTAACCACCCTGGCGAAGTGATGTTTACAGATTTCAAAGTGATGTTGACAATTTCGACGACTCCCATTCCTGGCTCTGCAAAAACTCAGAAACTCGCAGGCATCCGAATCAATCGCACCAGGCAGGCTCGGATCATGAACATCAATGTTGTTTTGATGCCTCTCACTGATCTCCCGCGATCAGTGATCAGTCGCATTCACACACTGTCCATAAATTTTTGCCAAAAAACGTACAGTAGCATGATTACGGCATAGTAAATAGGGTAACCGATCCGCACATCGATCGTGACTAATGATCGATTGTCTACTTTTACCGCGTCCTAAGATTTTCGCCAGGTAACATCTAGTCGCCAATCTCGCTACACCTTGTTCTCGATAAATGCACACCCCTTAAACACACACCCTTGGGGTACATACCCCAAATACAATATTTTCGCATGGTAGTTCACGACGTATGTCTAATTATCTGGGGGACTTTCCCGCACCCCTGTCGCGAAATGCGGAAAGCAATAAGAACTCCAGGGCACCTACCCCCCCTCCCTCCTCACTCGAAACGCATTGAACAAGTTTTCAGAGACTGCACCTTGGTGATGTCGATTGGTAGTCCCTGAAGTTCTGGATGTCCGTCGTTTCGAGCCAGAATAGGTTTGGGGTATCTATAAAACAGAGGGTAGGGGGTGTGCAATTATCGAAAACAATGTGTAGATTGGGGATGAAAATGTCAGATAAATGTACCACGCTTGCTGAGCAGCAGGGCCTGTGCTAGGTTTTGGGGCATCCTGAGGCCTCAGGGCAACTTTCCAGAATCTGAAAAGATGCCCTGATTTGTCAGGGCAAAATTCCAGAGGCTTCCTATAGTTTCAGGGCTTCTGCATAAATTTATCCTAGCCTGTCAGGCCAAAAATACGAGTGTTCAGGGTTCTATTTTTAATACTTGTAGGGGCACCAGCATTTTCCTACTCTTGCTAGGTAATCCAGGGTAGAGAACACCACCGGGCTAGTCCACAGATCACCACTGCTACTCTAACAGCTGTCAGAATAACTGAACGAGGAAATGAATGAACTAGCAGTGAAAATGAGTACAAGTACCTAACCCTAGAATTGTGTACCCCCTATAGGCTAACCCACTGCAGCCTAAACAAGCACAACACATATAACGTTTGACACACCCCCATAGGCAAAGTGGGGGAGAGCAAGGGGTCACAAGACCAGTCAAAGCAAAGCAAAACAAGCTCAGGGTGGATCTCAAGGATACCACACAAATTCCGAGCACAAGCAAGTGGTCACAAGACCAGTTCACATGCAGGTTGATAATATAACAAGAGAAACAGTGATAACAACCTAGCAAGTGTAAACATGCAGGCATATATATAAAGATCACAGTACAAGCAGAGTCAAGAGGTAAGCAAGTGAGGTCCAGCAGGCACAAGGCCTAGAAGAGTACAGAAACGCTGATGGTCACAAGGCTGAAGCGCCTTGGTGAACACATCAGCAAGGTTGGCCTCAGTGGCCACGTAACGCAGACGAAGCTGACCACGCTGCTGCAGCTCTCGAGCAAGGAAATACCGCAGGGCGATGTGCTTCGTTCTGTGCTCCAGTCTGTGCTCCTCACACAAGGCAATGGCAGCCTGGTTGTCGACGTACAGCACTGGAGGAGAACGAGGCCGCTCTCCCAAGTCGGTCAGCAGGTAGGTCAGCCAGCGTAGCTCCTGGGCAGCCATGGCTGTGGCGTAGATCTCAGCCTCACAACTGGAGCTGAGAACAGAAGAAGAGCGTGTAGAACGCCAAGAAACTGAGCCGGAGCCAAGGCTGAAGGTGTAACCCTGAGACGACCGCTGAGTAGCCTGGTCGTCCGCCCAAGAAGCGTCTGAGTGTCCAGTAAGTACAACTCGGTCTCGCCCTCCAAGCACTAGCCCCATGCCCGACGTACTGCACAAGTAGCGCAACACCCTCTTAGCGGCATCCATGTGCTCCTTCCTGTGACGGCCAGGAGCGACATAGCGCGCAAGGATGCTAAGAGGGTATGCAAGGTCAGGTCGAGTGCAGGTCATCAGGTACATGAGGCAGCCCACAAGCTCTGGATACGGGCCACTCAGCTCTACGGACTCATCCGAAGGCAGAGCTGAGAGCGAGTGACCGGTAGGCAGAGGAGTGGACTGAGGCGAGGAGTACGTGAAGCGGAAGCGCTGAAGGATCTGCTGCACCATGTGTGACTGAGTCAAGGTGATGGTGCGCCGTGCTCTGTCCCGGGTGATCCGCAAGCCAAGATAGCTTGTCAGTTCACCCAGGTCTGTGCACGTGTGTCTCCTCTGCAGCTCCGACTTCACGTGGGCGAGTGCCGCGGTGTCAGCAGTGGCAAAGACCAAGTCGTCGACGTACACGAGGATGTAGAACGGCGGCAGCGAGGTGTCTGTGCGTAGAAACAGTGACGGGTCAGCAGTAGAGGGAGCGAACCCAAGAGCCGCAAGTGTCGTCCTCAGTGTGTCGTGCCACTCACGCGGTGCCTGGCGGAGACCGTAGACCGGCCGCTGAAGCCTCCACTGGGTACCAGGAGGAACCGACCCAGTGAAGCCAGGAGGGCGGCGCAACCAGATCTCCTCGTGCAGGCTGCCCTGCAAGAAAGCAGTGCTGAAGTCAAGTGAGTGAAGCTCGTAGTCGCGCTGAGCGGCTATGTGCAGCAGCACCCGAAGAGTGGTCATCTTCGGGGTGGGGGAGAAGGTCTGAAAGAAGTCAACTCCCTCTCGCTGACTGAAGCCTCGA